CTGTAACAAAAGAAAGGTGTTATCAGAATGGTGGCTGTTCGTGTCGACGAGATTTATTTACTCGTTCTTTTCTCAAGAAAGTGGCACGGATAATGTGCGATATAAAGAAGTGTATTTACTATGATATCTATATTCTAAAACGTGTGATACATTGCAATCTTTCTTTTTAATATGTATTTTGCGTTAGAGGAAGGAGTAGAAAGCAGAGGACCAAAGAGAGAGAGAGAGAGAGAGAGAGAGAGAGAGAGAGAGAGAGAGAGAGAGAGAGAGAGACAGAGAGAGAGAGAGAGAGAGAGAGAGAGAGAGAGAGAGAGAGAGAGAGGAGAGAGAGAGAGAGAGAGAGAGAGAGAGAGAGAGAGAGAGAGAGAGAGAGAGAGAAATTCGGTCAACCACATGCGTATATGCATTATCCAACCTGTCGCGGCAGCGACATCCGATTTGAGGCAGCGGTGAGAATGCTTAAAGATCACTTGTGGGCGCAAACACCCACCTACATACACGCACAGACATCTAGATGCAGACACAAACTCAATTAGCAAAGAAAGGAAGAGCGAGAAAATGAACGATTCTTGCTCTCCTCTTCCTCGGTTTATTTACTTGTCCAACACGAATCCTTCACATGCACACAAACACGTCGACGACGTCCACCCAAAGGCAGACACACACAAGGCTGCTTGAGGCCCCTTCAGACATCCCAGACAACGACCCACGGGGGGCTGATGCTGCTGATGCTGCGTGGAGGCCTGGGGGAGTCTTCTGTCCCAGGCGAGGAATGCAGGCCCGGCAGGAAATCACTAAAGGTTACCAGTATTGCTACATCCGCCCTCCATGCTCTCCCTCCCTCCCTCCCTCCCTCCCTCCCTCCCTCCCTCACTCACTCACTCGACGACACCCCCCCCTCCCGCCAGCTCCCCTCCTCATGCCAACCACCCACGCCCCTCCACCCTAAAGCTCATGTCATAAAGGGGAGGGGGCATATGAAGGGTTCAGGGGGGTGGCAGGTGTTGACAGAACTCGAGGTGACTGGGATATACTGCGGTTTATTTGCCTTATTGTTATGCCGGCTTTGCGAGATCGACTGAACTTCTGGGTTAGGGTTTTGGGTTAAAACCTAAAATGATCATCTAATTTAGTCTTAAAAGAATCGCTAGTTTCAAATTAATCCAAATTCGAACTGATTGGATGAGGGAGCAAAACAAAATAAGATTAAATCAGAAACACGTGAATAAAAGCAATTACTTGATACACTTAAAGTGATCGCATGTAAAGGGATCACGTGACCAAAATGACCACCCGCATGAAAAAAAAACAGAACTAGCAGGTTCTCGAACGCACACTCCAAGCTAAATATATTCAGGGTCACACACCGAAACGCAGATTTAAAAAAGAGAGAAAAAAAATAGTGAAATATATCGAAAAACTATATAGAGATAACACTGAACGATCTTAACCCGGAATTATATCAAATGTATCTTCACTCGACAAAAACTGGACGCACATAACTGCACCTCCGTCCTTCGCGTCCAGCTAGCGGCCGGAAGCACATTAAAAAATCATTCAGGTAGTGATGTGAAAATGCGGGACAAAGAGCAAAAAGAGGCGGGGATAGAAGAGGGGAAAGAGATAGATTGAAAGATACAAAGGGAATTAAAGATACATATGTATACATATATATATATATTCATATATATATATACACTATATATATTATATAATATATACACAATATAAATACATATATTTATACATACATACATACACACACACACATATAAAGAGAGAGAGAGAGAGATTATAATTAAGCATAAAATGTAGGAAGGCAAAAACTCCCAAATGGTAGCCAGAATAATTAAGTTAAAACAATTAATTAAGATACTGAAATGCTACTGATGATGACTTAAATACTGCAATAACGCTAACTGATAATGTCACTTTACAACTGCACTAACGAATATAATCTTAAAACGTGACACTGATAAAAAGATTCGGATATCAATATTTACTATCAAAAAGCTAACCCTTATAAGGTACTGCATGACAGGAAGCCGAGTTTGTGCTTCGTATCTGATATTCATGTAGCGAGAAGGTTGACTGCGACGTGATCTTCCACGTGCACTCTTGTCTCTATTGCAGGACTAATTCTGGTGCAAGTCTTGCAAAGAACATGCTCGCTCTCTCGCTCTCTCGCTCTCTCTCTCTCTCTCTCTCTCTCTCTCTCTCTCTCTCTCTCTCTCTCTCTCTCTCTCTCTCTCTCTCACACACTGGTAGATAAATAGAGTGAGAGGGAGAGAGAAGGAGGGAGGGAGGGGAGGGAGAGGGAGGGAGAGGGAGAGGGAGAGGGAGAGAGAGAGAGAGAGAGAGGGAGAGAGGGAGAGAGGGAGAGAGGGAGGGAGGGAGGGAGGGAGGGAGGAGAGAGAGAGAGAGAGAGAGAGAGAGAGAGAGAGAGAGAGAGAGAGAGAGAGAGAGAGAGAGAGAGAGAGAGAGAGAGAGGGGGGGGGGGAGGTAGGAAGGGAGGGAGAGAGTGAGTATTGAGATAGAATTGAATTGATTTGATAAAGTGATTACGTCCAGTGGACGACAAACAATTTTACAGGGAAGTACAAAAGGTGCAGAACCGTGTCTCGCAGGGCACGTTGTGAACTATATATACACATATTTATATTCTCTCTTTCTCTCTCTCTCTCTCTCTCTCTCTCTCTTTCACACACACACACACACGTAAAGAAACAAAAGTAAACACGGATAATATCCATCAAAATGTGGATGACTCACAAGAACAGTGTCTAAATTATTACCCTGCAATTAGTATTTACAAACATAAATGAGATCTTGTCCCTGGGGTAGAAAGCCCTTTACTACGGGGCACTCCAGACAATGATGGAGTAGAGTGTTGGCATTGGGAAGATCGCACAATTTGCAAGACGCATAATGGGGCACGTCCTCTGCCTGAGACACCTGCCACACAGGCCGGTACCCCAACCGAAGCCTCGTACTCGCTACATTGTGCCTGTGTATCATGAGCCCATGGCAACGGTATTTGTGTGCACAGTTCACAAAAATTTCGTTGTGTTGGATGGAAATACTGTTATCATGTTCAACATTCCTATAATTCACTATTAAGGCATGATATTCGGAGTATATAATTTTTCTGTGGTGGCATGTATATCAAGCATGTCCAGGGCACAAGAAGTCTTAGCAAGATTGTTCAGTTTCAATGGCCGCAAGCCCAACGTGAGAAGGCACCCATAAAAAGCGCACAAGAGGTATATCGTGGGCTATGGCGAGCTGGAAAGTATTTTATGCATAACACTGCGATGCAATGTTCTTAATGATGTAAGTGCGTGAAGGGCAGACTGGGAATCACAGATCACAGCTCCGTTCAGCCCCCTTTAAGTGAAGAGAATGACAGCATCCAGGAGGCCATGAAGCTCACAGTAGGTATAGCTTGAGGTGTTGGGTAATCTGCGGCCAACCCATCTGGCACCCGCTGGCGGCTCTTTAGTGGGGAGAACATGGCACACGCCGCGCTCCCGTCTGGCTGCAGAGAGCCGTCGACGTAGAGGTGGGGGCAGCGGGAAGAGATGCAGACACTCTGGCGATGCCAGTTGCATTTGCTGAAGCAGGTCTGCCCTGGAGGTTGGAGTGAAGGAGACATCTGGATAAGGTACTCGCCAGGGCTGTAAACCAGGATCCTCTTCTACTGCAGGAACATCGATAGTAAGTCTGTTGAGGCTAGCGCATAGTGTTAATAAGATTGCGTCCACCCAGCCAAAGATGATATCTAGGTGTATCTGGATCAAGTGCTGCCCTGATGACATTGGAGTAGTGAGGTGCGAGATGGGGAGAGTTCAGACATCTGAAGCTGGGATATGTGACATTGAAGTAGACCCTATGAACAAGTGGGGTCAAATTTAGCTCGGACTACATATTAACTACTCTGATGGAAGCAGAGCAACCCAGGATAAACCGAATGACTCCATTCTGATTTTTTTTTAAATGGTTCCAGTGCTGACTTAGTGTTGACAGAGAGTTGGTGAAAGGTAGTCAAAGACAGCTCTCATGTACAACACATAGATGGTTTTGGCCAAAGAGACTCTGGCAGCATGGTTGGCAAGCCACTCCACAGGGTGAAGCACTGCTGTAGTCAGTCCAGACAATGGGGTGGATCATGTCATGTTGGGATGGTCGGGATGACTCGTACAGGGATGCCCACGTAGAGGTACTGCAAGCAGCGAGGGACAGATCTGCCTCCCATGATGAAATTTGGGAGTGTTCTTGGGTTGCGATAGGAAAAAGTTCTAGAAGGCAATTGTGTGTCCCTCGCTTAGACAGAAAGCCATAAAGTCGACGTGTGAACTTGGGTTGCAGGCAATAGAGTAGACAGTTTAGTGTGATGCGTTCAAACACCTTGCAGAAGCAGGAGGTGAGGGAAATAGGCCACAACTTAACAACTTAACGGATATGATCAGGAATCGGATGTCTTCCTCTCTACCTCTAGCACTCTCTCATCAAGCATCATGGTACAGATTCTGGAGCAACGTGCATGCATAAAAGTTGTGTTAAACTCACAAGTCAGGGGAAGAATGCATCAGGTAATTCAGTTTTGACTGGAGGAAGCACACTTGTCATGTAGGAGACATAGGCTAAGGGCAACATGGTCAGAAAAAAGCATAGGGAAGGAGCACCTAACATGGGAGGCCACCAGTCCTGAAATAAGACTGTAATCCAAAGTGCCTATAAGGGAGTGAGTGGCCCCACCTGTCTCCCAACAAGAAAGCCAGTAGTGCCTAATATATTCAAGGAGATATGGACCATTCTTGTTCGGGCCTGGTGATACATAGTTGAGGTCAGGATGCCGAATTCTCCCATGTATATCATGCCACAGAGCATTGCAGGAGGCATGGCAGCCAAATTGAATGAATATTACTGTCAGGTGATGACGGTACACATAGTCCTTATGAGCAAGTCTTGCCATGTTTATAATGCCACGAGCATTCCAG